CATCCATCCATCCATCCATCCATCCATCCATCCATCCATCCATCCATCCATCCATCCATCCATCCATCCATCTTCTTCTTCTGCTTATTGGGGTAAGGGTGCAGGGGTAGCAGCTCCAGTAGGGAGGCCCAGACGTCCCACTCCCCAGCCACTTGAGCCAGCTCCTCTTGGGGAATCCCAAGGCGCTCCCAGGCCAGCCGTGAAACATAGTCCCTCCAGTATTTCCTGGGTCTCCCCCTGGGCCTCTTCCGAGTGGGACGTGCCTGGAACACCTCACCAGGGAGACGTCCAGGAGGCATCCTAATCAGATGCCCGAGCCACCTCAACTGGCTCCTCTCGATATGGAGGAGCAGCGACTCTACTCTGAATCCTCCCTGGATGACTGAGCTCATCACCCTATCTCTAAGGGAGAGCCCAGACACACTACGGCGAAAACTATCTTCAACCGCTTGTATCCGGGATCTTGTTCTTTCGGTCATGACCCACAGCTCATGACCATAAATGAGGGTAGGAACGTACGTAGGTCAACCGGTAAATCAAGAGCTTTGCTTTTTGGCATTTTTAATGTGTATTCCATACTTTGTCTTCCATACTGAAGGTCTTTGGTCGTCTGCTCCTCATTATGGTTTTGTGTCCAATACTGGTTACTTTTAACAGTTTTTCATGATGCACCTTTTCCACCATGCTGAAATATTCATTTGTATTTTAAGTCATATTTTAAGATGCCTCTAAGACAAGTTTCTACTAACAATCTTCTGAGCTCCTTTAGCTTCTCTTTCCTTATAAGTATTCACTGAACTGCCTCACTTTCTTACTGCCGGTCTTACTGACCTTGGGTTGATAAAAAGTCGACTCTCACTCGGACATTATCTTATTATCTTTTGCCAGGACCATGCATAGTTGATGAACAAGGTGTTATCTGAGGCAGCATCAGTGATGCCATCAGAGCCTTCTTCAGTTTCGTCCGCCTGTGTTGGTATTATAGCAGATATGTACCTGTGAATCATTAATGGCAGGTCAATTGTTTCCTCTGCTGCATCGGGGTGTCTCTTGCCGACTGTAGTATTTCATCTGGAAATATGGTACATGCCCCTGATAAAACAAACAGGAGCTGTTCCCAGCTTGGCTGAACTCTGGTTCAACTCTGAGCTCATGGCTAGACGGGTGCAACTGAGGTAATAAGACATTGCTTTCCATCAATGGACAGCGGCTATTTGGTTTTATGTTCTCCTCAAGTGTTCATGACTGAAACAACAACCTAAAAGCTTTTAATATCATATCATAATATTATCTTCTCTCAAAATACCACATATATTAGAACCTCTTCAGATCTTTCCTTCACTGAAGCACAGATAAGAGAAATCTTCATAGCATTTCCATAGAAATGAATAAAGCCACACCCCAATAGAGCTTTTAACTGCCACTTAATCATAATTTATTTGTCTATTACTCATAACTTCCTACTGTACCAAAGTTATAGAATTACTCTATTTTTACCCCATTTTAAGATAATAATGTTTAAGCAGTAGATGGCGGCATTGAGTCATTTTAGGCCATCATGTAGTTTTCCATTATTTGAGGAAATACTGGAAACATTTCCTGTGAATGAATGAATAAAGACATTCACCAATAAGTAAAAAAACAAATAGGTTAGTACCTAAACAGGTTTTAATTCAGAGCGCACTGGAATTTAGTGATTTTTTTTTTGTCAAAAATGCAAATTTTCATTAAGTAATGCAGCTTAATGCAGGAGTTCTTTTGGCTTTTTGTTCAATACCACATGGGGTTGTTAAAAAACTAAAAAAATAAGCAAGTAAGCAAAATGATCTTTGTTTCAAAAAATGTTTTTGTTTAAGTATAAGCATGCCTAGTCACTATAAGAATGGGTGTATCATCCTGCAGGGATGGTTGATGATGTTAATGTCTGTTTTGATAGTTTATGACTTCATACCAAATATTATTTAGGTTTTCTTTAAGGAATTAAGACCATCTCAATTTTTAACTTTTGCAGATTTAGTCTGATCTGACCTATTCTGGAAGTTCTTCATTAAACAGACAGACTTTGTTAAAAAAAAAAAAACAAAAAAAAACAAGCTAAGATAGAAAAAAAAAAACAACCCCAAAATGAAGCATTTCAATTTTTTTTTTCACATAATTGCCTTTGTCAGAGGAGTGTACTTGGGCTGTACTTGGGTTGAGTGCGAGACAGCATAGAGAGAACTATAACAAGTAAAAGAGTGCAGCACAACCTGACATATCTACCAACAAGATATTAAGCCTGAGTCTTTTGTTTAACAGTAGTAGAAGGCAAGCATAATTGTTTTTTTTCCTTAAACTGTTTATCTGATGTACTTTAATCAGTACTGCACCACTACATACAGAGGTTGCAAAAGGAGAAATATTAAATTTGATTTAACAAAAGTTAAAAGAAGGAAAGTAACATGCAGAAACAAGAGATTGAGGACAGAATTGTGAGATATGGGAGGTGAATTGGCATGCTTTCTGGTATGAAGCCTGAGTCTTTTGTTTAACAGTAGTAGAAGGCAAGCATAATTGTTTTTTTTTTCTTAAACTGTTTATCTGATGTAATTTAATCAGTATTGCACCACTACATGCAGTAGTTGCAAAAGGAGAAAGATTACATTTGATTTAACAAAAGTTAAAAGAAGGAAAGTAACATGCAGAAACAAGTGATTGAGGACAGAATTGTGAGATATGGGAGGTGAACTGGCATGCTTTCTGTTACAAAGGAAGACAAATAATGCACTGCAATGTAGTTTTTTTTTTAATATTCTTAAAAGGAGCATTTTAAATATCACCTAAATCTGTTAGTAAAATGTGACTGTGCACGTCTGAGATAGATGGCAATCAAATAAAATGCATACTTTGTAAAGTATAGTTCATAAAAATTTAAGAAAATATTCAAACTTTGCTTGAAAATGAAAATATATACTGAAGTAACCTTAGA